GCGGCAGCCAGCTCCCGCAGTGCCGACAGGCCGCTCATGATCTGGCGAGACATGTTGACGTGTGTGCGGAAGCGCTGCCCCCAGGGGACCCCGTCGACGACCGCTCGGGCGTCTAATTCCAGCCCACGCGGCAGGGGCGTGCCGGGGGCCCAGCCCGCCAGCTCAGCGGGGAAGAGGGCCAGCAGCAGGCCCTGGGAGAGACACAGGCCGCGGACGAAGCTGTTCATGCCCCCGGGCTTGAACACAATCCGCAGCTGCTGCCCCTGCGCGGCGGCGGCGGCGGCGGCGTTGCGGCGGCGTTGCGGCGGCGGCGCGGCGGGCGGCGGGGGTCCGGTGGCGTGAGGATTGGGGGGTGCGGGCCGCGTCGACGGGCTGGCGCTCAGACGCGACTCGGGGCGGCGGGCACTTGCAGGCACCCTTCGGGTCGTTTCCGAAAGCGAGGTTGTGCATGCCACGCAGTTTGGACCGCACCGTAGGGAAGAAGCTGCAGCCAGCCGAGCTGCCAGCACCGCCGCCGCCGCCGCCGCCGCCGCTGCCAGCGCCGCCGCCGTCGCCACCACCACCCTCGCCACCACGGCCGCCTGGCCTGCGTCCTTCGCTGTCGCCGCTGCCGCCTCCACCGCCGCCGCCGCTGCCGCCGCCTCGGCCGCCGCGGCGGCAGGGCGCGGCGGCTCCCTCCATCCAGTCGCCGCTGTCGCTGCTGCAGCCGGCGCTCTCCTCATCTTCACCTTGATCCCACTCCTCCTCCTCCGCTTCTGAGTCATCCTCTCCTCCGCTGCTCACGGCCTCCTCGTCCTCAACTGCTGGCGACGCCGCCGCGTGGTGTGCTGCCGGGCGTGCCTCGGCTGCTGCGGGTGCCGATGGGCCCTGCTGCGGGGTATCGGGGGGCGGCTGCTCGCTGCTGCCGCCGCTGGCACTGCCGCTGCCGGCGTCGAGGCGCGGCCGCTTGCTTGCGCTCGCGCTGGGCTGGTGGCCGTCATTCGCGCCCGCAGCGCTGCCGCTGCCCGCTGCATCAGGCTTCAGGTCCATCCACACATTTTCAAGAGCTGACAAGGGTACTAGAGCAAGCTTCCTGCGCATCGTGATTTAATTGCGTGATCTGTACCTGACGGTTTATGTGACCTATTGTAAGACAGCCAACACAAATGTGTGTCGGTCTCAAACAAGTTCGTGCTCCGACGAGGTAATGGGAGCTTGCAGCGCTCCCGCTGGCGATCTCCCGCCACACCTATCTTCACCCAAACCAATCATATATGTCAAAATCAAACTTGATAAATCGTCTGATCGTCTCATGCGCACATCTGTGAGGCGCACCGCTTGCAAATCGCCACCACCTTTCCTGTGTCACCTCAGTGACGTGTCAAGGTGACAAATACCGAGGCAGGTGGTGTGCGCCAGGGCTTGCTGTGCGATTTTCGTCAGCAGCGGCAAAGCGTGCAGCTCCCTCATGATCAATTGGCTTGGGCCACCAGCACAAACACGCTTGCTTTGCCGCCAATGAGGTCCTGCAACAAGCAGCACAGCACCCAGCTGTCGCAGCAGGGCCCAGTACCCCTTAGTCATCCTGCCCAGTCAGGCGACCCTGGCGACACCGAGCAAACACAGCCCAGCAGATCGGCAACAGCCACAAATCGGTACCGCTTTTTGCAGCGTTGCAGCCGACGAACTGGCGTGATGACGGTGGGCTGGGGAGCGGCTTCAAAGTCCGATCACACAAACCCTGGATGGCTCCAGAAGCGGGCGACTGTGGCACTGTCATCCCCTGATACCGTCAGACCACGCCAGCCTCGTCAGCTTGAGGTGCCGTAGCATGCAGCAAAGAGACGTACCATTTGAGGCTTGTCGTGTTAACATCAACGTTGGCAGGCCCAACTGGGTTCACATTACCACATGCTCTACTCAAAATGTGCAGGAACAGCTGCTGATGGCGACCCACGCACACATCGACGGGGCCAGTGCCAGCTGCAGCTGCGACCACGCTCACACCCCATTGGGATATGTTGCAACGGCACGCATCAACACCCGCTCAGCACGAAAGCAACACATCAGCAGGCCTGCTCAGCAGCTGCGCGCGCCGCGATCCGGTCCATCCAGGCCCTCGCGACACCAACCGCCCCAACCGCGCACGCGTGCGTCAGCCGCGGGTACTCCATCCCCAGGAACCGCCGGCACGCAACCGCCTCCTTCGTTGCCGCCTTCACGCCGCCGCACACCGCGTCAAAGCGCTCGGGCGGCAGGCGCAGCGCCTCGGCCGCGCGCAGCGCCCCTCTGAACGCTGTATTGGCGGCGTCCTGCAGCGCAGCCTCGGCTGCCGCGGCCACCTCAGCGGTGGCCCCCGGGGAGGGCGCCGCGGGCAGGGGCACCTCCTCCAGACAAAGGCTGACCAGGACCGCCGCAACTGCCGCCTCCCCTTGCACCACCGCTGCGACCGCAGCCGGCTGCACCTGTGCCCGCGGCGCCGCCGCCACGCCTGCTTGTTTGGCCGGTCCTGGACCCAGCGTCGTGGTCGGCCGCGCATGGGCGGATGGCGGCGTGCCCGTCGGCGTGGGTGCCCCCACCGCCTCCTCGCCCGTCACAAGAGACCCAGGAAACTTCACTGCAGTCGCTCTGCGTATGGGGGTCCCGCCCGCCGTCGGCCGCGGTGACACAGGCTCTGCAGGCGGCAGCCCGGCCCCGGCCCCCTGCGTCACCTGGTGACGCGGCTCCGCCGTCGGCCCCGGCGCTGCCGCAGCCGCTGCCAGGCGCGCCCGCTACGCGGCTGGCTCAGGGTTCGCAGCAGCACCGTAGACGGCGCCGCGGCGCGGCCGCAGAGCGGCAGCTGTGTTGTGCGCCTTGAGCAGCAGCTGCTGCTGCTGCTGCTGCTGCTGCTGCTGCTGCTGCTGCTGCTGCTGCTGCTGCTGCTGCTGCCGCTGCTGCTGCTGCTGCTGCTGCTGCCGACCGCTGCAAGTGAGGATGAGGTCGAGCGCGTTGCGGCCGGCCGCGCGCCGGATGGCGGTCAGGCGCCAGCCCTCCAGCTCCCCCAGCATGCGCACGCCCCTCCTCAACGTGCGCCCACGGTTGATGGTGCTGCCAAACCGGCCGCCCCAGGGCCGCCCATCCACCTCAAGCTGCAGGCTGATGTCGAGCGGCAGGGGCACGACTCGGAACCAGCTGTGCAGCAGAGCTTCTGGCATGTGCAGAGGCTTCAAACCGTCTCTCCTGTCAGCGCAGAATCCCAGGGTCTGGGGCTGCAGAAGCGGCGGCAACGCGGGGACGGGGACGCAAAGGGTTGCCGCACGGCCGGCGGCGCGAAGGGCGGCCCAGGCGCGTCGGTGAGTGAGCGCCGCGGCGCTTGTGGAGCACGCTGGCTGGCTTGCTGCTAATCGGGCGGCAGGCTGCCGCCCTTCCACGCGCACGGCTGGCAAAAAGCAGCTGCCACCCCTTGTGTGCGACGGCCGGCCCGCTCACCACAGGAAGCATGAAAACGTCGCCCTTGCAGGCGCCACGATTGCTGGCATCATCGCCTCCGCCAGCGCTGCCCTCCTCCTCCTCGTTCTGCTCCCCTTCATCCTCCCCCTCCCCCTCC